CCCCAAAACCCCAAAACCCCAAAACCCCAAAACCCCAAAACCCCAACTTGATAAGAAATGATTGAAGAGGCTTCATAATAATTAACTTAATGAATTCAGATTCCCAAATGTGCTTACCTCATTCTCTTAAAGATATCTGGAGTGATGACTTGGTGTCATGAGAAGGAAGTGACGAGTGCTCGCCACAGATGCCCAAGGTAACACATCAGTTTGAGAACACCCTGAGGGACAACAAGGGCAAGCCTCATAAAAAGGACTTGATGGCTAGCTTGGAAGCTCCATTCAAAGAGATGATATCCAAAGATTCCCTGACTATAAATGGCAAGCTTAAAAAGTTCAAGACATGCTCTAAGTCAAATCCTCATTGCAAGAGGCCCAAACCAAGCACTTATAAATCAAATTCCCCAAGAAGGAAGTCTAAGTTGCTCAGAGATATTCCTTCTTGTGAGATCCTCCAACTACTAATCTCTTGAAAGGAGGACTAGCCTGGATCTGAGAATGGCTGGATAAATCTCTCTAATTTCTCATAAAATATTACGAAATTTTTTAGGAATTTTTAAACTTTTATTCCAATTTTAGAAAATATGTAAAAGTCCCTGGGGGAGTTACATTAGAGGTTTTATTAAAGCAACTTTTGAGGTGGTAGATTAACATAAAGTGTTTTGGATATTATAGCCAGCATGCTGCATGGAGAGTTCTCACGTTTTCGAATAGGTAAGAAAGCATCTGTGGAAGTTGAGTTTGCGATTTGGGAAATTTTGAAATTTTGAAAATTTTCAGGAAATAATATATATGAGTGGTACAGAAAGATCCAAGTAAATTTGCAACTTTATTAACATTTTCATGCTTTATTAAACTTTGGAGGTATTTTGATCTTCAATTCTGTTCTACTCGGCTGACTTTGCCTCATGACAATGAAAAATGGAGCTTATCATCTTCTGATTTTCCATAATTTTGGATAAAAATTAATTCATTTTCAGGGTAAATCATGATCAATTCTTCTTTAGCATCTGAAACAGTTTGTGCTCCATTTTATTAATAAATAAAAGTTTTACTGAAAAATAAGAAAAATCTCTTTAGAAAAGAGTGGTAGGGTTAGCCTTGCTAAGGCTAAATGACCTCTAGGATTATTGCTAGGAGGTATTTATTGGCTTTCATCGATATCAAAAACAAACTTTAGTTTCATTCTGAATCCTGAAGAAGCCATTTCTGCTGTTCAGCATTTTATGATGAGTCATCCTTAGCCATGACTCTGGCTTAAGACAATGAATATTTTGAAACACTGCAACTTAAGTCCGTTAACCCCTCTAAAACCTATTGGAGTCCTACTAAAACGCTTCAAGTCTTACCACAGATATTAACCAATCCCTGATCTCTACTAGGATCTTACTAAATACACTCCTAAACCACCTATTTCTACCACTCATAAAATCCCTTCAGCTCCGCTGACTCCCATTTATCAGCCAAAAATCTTCCTCGCAAGAATCCCTCAGGAAGTACTCCTCCTAACTTGTTAAGAATTTTAATGAATATTTTGCCTTAAAAATTGCGTCATCGATATTATGAATCTAGTAGTAAAGTTATAACTCAAAACATACTCCTGAGGGTGTTAACACCAGCCTTGATGTATACATTTCTTATGAATAATAGGCCCAATAGTAGCGACAGGATTTGCTCTGAGCAGGATTCATCAATGTCAAAGAATCTTGGCAGCAAATAAGGAAACAGAGGATTTTTATTGCTTCCTTTGAGAGTAATGAAAGCAAGTTAGCATTCGATGTTATAGGATCTGTTAGGTGTCTTTTCTTTTATAATTTTTTATAGATATCATAATTCTGGAAATTGAATGTGGACCAGTCTTTCTGATAGAGAAGTTGACAATGGCATATCTTGCGGAGATTGGAGCTCTGATGATAGCAAGGAAGATAATTGTTGTCAATTTAACTTAAATTTTGCTGAATATTTTAACGTTTTATTTCAGTTGATATCTAATCAGTATTAGTATAAAATTTGAAGCATTTTCTTGGAGAAAGTAAAGAAATTTTACTTTATATTTTAGGAGAAACATTATGATAATTTTCTACATATTTCTAACAAAATGATCGATCTAACCTATGACAAGTTAGGATGTCTGATGACTAAAAACATCATGGATGAGTCTCAATATATTGCAAGGATCATCACAAAGCTAACTTCTTATGATATAAATTAGCAATTAAGTGATAAATACCACCACGAGTATATAAAATACTCAGTTCCTCATACACTAAACTCCATTTATATGCTGTATTGAGTTTTAATATTCAACATTAGATTTAAGGCATGGGGTTTTGGGGTTTTGGGGTTTTGGGGTTTTGGGGTTTTGGGG